GGGGGGGGGGGAGAGAGAGAGTGAGAGAAATGGAGAGGAAAGGGAAGCACAAACGAGGAGGGAGGCTGAGCACACTCAACACACTCAACAGACTCAGCACATTCTTCGTGCACGAACGTGGACAAGAGGTAGTTTGTGCACATAAATTACACCCTGGGACGAATTGTCGGGTTTGATATCCGCTGCAACAGCAGGAAAACACGTTGACGTCCGACCAAAAAACAAATCCACGTCGGGAAAAACTATGAATGTTTTTCTCATATAATATATACCGGGTATGATCTAATTGGCGTGGTCCATCTCCCTGTCGAGATGCCGACCATGGCTTTGCACAACGTCCACGGGGGAAGGGTGCCGGGGGCGCGGTTACATGCACACCCTAATTTTTGCGCGATGCATTTAAAATTTTTCGTTCTACATTGTCGTACGTACGTAAATTGCACGTTCCTACAGGCTAGGAGCGGATCGCTAACCTGAAGCGCGTCCATGAAAGAGCGAGTGATGAGCACCGTCATGAGCATCTCCTTCAGCCCCTCCAAGTCCCTGCGTGTTGCGAAGGTTTCGTACATCGGGACACATTGTGCGTGTCCGTGGGGGGGGATAACTTGACGTCGGTTGCCTCGACAATCATTTGGTGTGGAGAAATCGAGCTTCGACAATCGGTCTACGGGAGTGATAACTTTGTTTCAACTACTGCATGAAGGCAACCAGAAACATTGTAACCTCAAACCGCTGACAGAGAAGAGGGGAGGGTTTGACAGGAACTCACTATTACGTGCGGGAGGACAGAAATCGATGCGACTCCACACGGCCGTCAAGCTACTTAGCTTTACTAGAAACCCGAGCTTGGACACACCTCCGGTAGAAGCCGTGATGGTCTAAGGCCTTCGCCCAGGCTCGCGATTTTACAAAGCGGGTGGCTACACGAGGGATTCGACAAAACGAAAGGGGGGGCTAGAACAAGGAGGGCGCGGCATAAAGTCAAGGGGAGTTAGAGGACACATACGGCACGCGCACCAACCTCTGCCAGAATCCGAGGTAGAAGAGCCTCGAGTAGCTGTTGACGCATCTGAATGTGAAGCGCTTGACGGTCATGCTGTTCTCCGCGCTGGCCTCGGTGACGTGGTCCTCCCAGGACGTCAACGCCTAAAAAAAAAGAAGAAGCAAAACAGAAGAGCTCGATTACACTCACACCATGATTCTCTCTCTTTCTCCTAAAAACTTCCGACCCCAATCAGCACCGGCACTCACTGACACTGAAACTGCCAACCGACCGTTCCGCCACATGGCTATAAACTGATCCGATCCCCTCAGCCCCACGCTTCTGCTTGATCTAAGCCCGCTTAACTGTTGGTATCATCGTGCATGAGTACCTGTACGCGTGCAAGCATACGCTGTCGGATAAACTAACTGCGGAACCAGCCAGTCTGTTTAGTCTCACATGCGCCCACTTCCAGTGCATGTCGTAGAAGGTTGACGGGAGGATGACAGAAGCGGTTCTGCAAGAAACAACAAAACAACAACGATCGCCGTGCGGGCCGGCGGAAATATAGGTCAAAGGACAACGACAGACCGACAGGAACACAGGAACACAGACGAAGGGAGGGAGGGAGGGAGGGAGGGAGGGAGGGAGGCTGGCAAGAAGATGGGCACCGACATGGGGCAGACGCAGAGAGAAATTGAAGAAAAGCAGGGAGCATCACACCACGCAACCCAAAACACTACGTGACACGACCCTTAGCCTAGCCACTACCGGCGCGAAAGCAAAGCACAACGAACAAAGGAGAAAGGAACCACTGGAGTCTAACATACATCCATTTGGACCAGTTAGATAGCGCGACAGTCGGTAGTCGATAGTCGATCAAAACCCATGAAAAACGCTCACAATCCCACACGGCGCCCCCCTCTTCTCTCTGGCTGTTCAACCAATTCAAACCCCACCCTCAAGACTTTACGCCGCTACCGTATACCAGCTGCATTACCTGACGAGGCGGAAACCCAAGCTTCCTTCGCCAAACTTCTCGAGGGATCGTACCTCCAACCACGCGAACCTAGTTCGTCGATCGGTCGGTAATTGTTCGCAGCGCAACATACATCAACATTGGCGGGCGCGCGGGGGGGCGGGGGGCACTGCGACATCACGAGCGAGATGCGAAGAGATTTGAGAAACAACGAGGATTTGGTGAGCAGCAGCAAACAACCCTCCGCGCCCGCTCTCAAGACAGTTGTAGTATCAAAACAAGTAGCGCTACTACTACTTTAAGTTGTACTAGGGCATTGCCGATAATAGTCGACATCACTATCGGTCGTGGCAGCACGAGTACGGAGTAGCGGCAGCCGACATGCCGGCGTGCCAGGGGGGGGGGCAGCCGCTCGGATTAAAAACGCGGACTTTGTCTCGACCCGTTGCTTGACAGTGTGACCGCCAGCGCCCGATGTAAGGTCTCAAATGCCGGACGGGCTCATACCACGATCTACCTTCTACTACTGCTGTACAGCCCATCTGCTCCTGCGGGGGGCTGGTGCGGTTCATTCCTCCGTCGCCACATTAGATTGGGGAGGGCAACAACAGCCTCGACGACAGTAAACCCCGAGGGGAGCGATGCCCTCCGATGCCCTGCCCCCCCCATGAGGCAACGACCTCCACGTAAGCACACGCACGAACACCCGAAAATAGTCTGACCCCCTCCGCACCACCCTTCCCTCCGACAAGAAGAACAGCATCATCCACACACGGCGGACGGGGGAAGCAAGCAACAAGCCCCACTGGGACCCCCATTCCAACACCATGAGCACCCCAGACGGGCTTTTTGAAACAAACACCGGCAACAACAACAACGCCGACGAATGCACGAGGCCGGGAAGCGACCCCCCCCCCCCCCCCCCCCCCCCCCCCCCCCCCCCCCC